ATGTCACACGGGTTCTGTAATGTCACACGGGTTCTCCTGTTCAAGAAGACCTCCTGTAAAACTAACAACAAAAGAACAGTGAATGGATGTGTTTTTATCAATAAGCAGCGAAATCTGTTAAAATAAATCACATGTTCAGATTTACATACGGTCATTATTTTAGCACAAATATCTTTATTAAACATCAGAGACAGAAATACACATAATCATGGACTGTTAATTACAGAAGATGGCAGTAGTTCAATAAAATGGTTGTTTTTGGTTCATTTGTAGTTTACATTTAGAATTTCCTTTTTTAAAACAAGACAAACGACTTTCTGGTGTAAATGCTCACAAACCGGAGTGTAAAACATTAAATGATGGTGAGCGGCTCCTTGTTCAGTCAAACTAAACGTCTGGTTGCTCATCACGTAGCAGGAAGTCGCTTCAGCGCGTCCAGGAAGCTCCGAGTCGAGCAGAACGTGACGGACTGTTTGCCGTCAGATGAGACTCTCTCAGCTGGACGTCCGTCTTCCACACAAACTGTTTCTGGTTCTGCTGCGACGTGGACCGAAGCTGTGATCGCTCAGTAAAAATAGAAGCTGCTTCTATCGTCTCCTTGGAAACGGCTTCACTTCCCAGCAGCAGCTTCGCACCCGACGGCGTTTAACACAAATCAGAGAACAAAGACGCCTTAATGGGCCCAGATTCACGGATAGAGAAGGAACCGGAGCCGGTGATGAACGTGGTTACATAATCAGGAGAACGTCTTCATTAACAGCTGCAGGACTCTTCATGTGCGGTTCTGCTGTTTAAACGCTTTCATGAGCAGCTGGTTTCTGTTTTTAATGTCCAGACACCAGAATGAATAAAACAAACACGTTCCTCCATTAGTTTAGTATTTATACAGAAACATGATAGAAGCTATTAAAAAAATCAGTTTTTATCACAGATTTGTTAGATTTTCTTTTTAAAAAAGAGTTAATATCAGCGTCTTTGTGTCAATAACCAACAGAAAAGTTCTTTTTTAAAACATTGCTGTTGGTATAATGACAAAAAATGTTCCTTTCTTTGTTTTGTAGCTTAGTTTAGTTTTACAGGACAGAATCCAGCAATGTTGAATAGTGTTGATTTGATTTACTGTTAAATAACAGAAAATATTAAATGTTTTACTGTCGACACACAAAACAGATAATTAACAGTAATTATTCAGTCCTATTTAAAATGCCCTCTGAGACACATCATTAAATGATCACATGTCAACCTGTGTTATAGTTTCACCGTTAATCAGTTCTCTGTTCTGTTGGTTCACCTTTTAATGTTCATTAAGCTGTTTATTAACTAACGAGCTCCAGCACTTTATCTGGTCATGTATGGATCTATTTAACATTTGTAGTTTTTTACAGAAGATTCACCATTAAATAGCAGAAACATCATTAAATAATCACTAATGTCAACATCTTTCATTATAAATGTGATAAAAATTATTATTTTCTGTTTGTCTGTGGTTCACCTGCTTTAAATAAAAACACCTCCGTCATCATTAAACCTTCTGGTAGTTTTACCTCCAGACGTATTTAATTTTGTTCAAAAGCGGAACTTTTTATTAACTTGTGCATCTTTTAAGAAACCAGCTGAAGGAACACGAGGAACCGGTTCTTCAGGAGGGAGGAGCTCATGTTTGATGGTTCTCTGAGACACTTTGAGGCGTTCCTTAAAAAACGTGTTTGTGTGAAAGTTCTTCAGAGAACCACGTACGCTGTGGAAGGAACACCTTCTGATGGTTCTATGAAGGAAATATTTTTAAAAGATGGTTCCTTCTAGAACCTATTTTTACTGAAAGTCTTTGGACGGCCATTAATGGTGCTTGAAGGAAACTTGATGGTTCTTTGAGGCACTGTTGGTTGAAGAAACGGTTTCTTTAAGAACCTATTTTTGCTAAAGTTCTGCAAAGTACCAGTTACGGTGCCCTGAGGAAACATTTTATGATGGTTCTTTGAGGCAACTTTGGGGTTCTTTGGGAAACTACTAGAAACAGAAGTTTCTTTTGTGAACATTACAAACAGAGACATGGCGATTGTTACATCAGCTGACAATAAAGCAGTTCAGAGATGTTCCTGACCAGACGTGCAGCCGTAACTGTGGAGAACTTCTGCTCATGTCTTCCTGTCTCCGTGTCCAGGTGTGTTCCTGGCCTGCTGGACGCCGTTCTTCGTCGTCCACGTCACCAAGGTGTCCTGTCAGTCATGTGACATCGGCCCCACCCTCATCTCCGTGGTGACGTGGCTCGGCTACGTCAACAGCGCCGTCAACCCGATCATCTACACGGCCTTCAACGCCGAGTTCAGGAACGTCTTTCACAAGCTGCTCTGCTGTCGGACATGAGGACGTCCGGAGGTCTGTGATCCGCCGTGGAAAGTTCTACGGACATTCGGAGACCCGTTCTGTGGACGGTTCTCACCAGGACGAGGGTCTCCGACCAAAGCCTTAGAGTAGATCTCAGCTGGACTGAAACACTGACTGACTTTTATTTTGAAGGTTTGTGAGTTTCCTGAAGCCGAGCAGTAGTCGGAGTAAACCTCCACATCTGGCCCAGAGGCATAAAACATGTGAGCGCGTGCAGAACCGTAAACGTTCTTTGATATCTGAGTATTTTTATGTTTTTAAAGGTTTCCTGATTTGCTGTCGATTATTCCGATGATGTGTTGACGAGTATTTTTTTTGTGACTGAAGCAGAAAAACAAACGCCTGAATGTCTGCGGCAGAGTTTTGTGGTGAAGCTCTTTAACGAAGGGAATCCTGTTTGTGGTGTTTTATCTGTGAAGTGATGAGACGTAGCTGAACAACAACCTTCTGTGTCGTCAACAGAAAAACAATAAAGACGCTGAAGACACGACTCGTGTTGTTTCCTCCAGGAGAACATCACACAGAAAAAACTGAACTTCATCTGCAGACTTTGTGAACAGCTTAATAAATACTAATGGGACCTTCCTGATCGGACCCCAAACATCAGAGACACAGAGAATAAAGACGTTCAGTCAAATCCAGCATCTTTAAACACACTGGTGGCGGTTGGAGGTCATTAAGCAGCACGAGTCGACCTTAACTCCAATAATGCTCTTTTCTTATCAACATGAGCTGCCTGTAGTCTGAGTGACGCCTCCTCTGGTCTCTACAGGATTAAACAGTAAGAGGCGCCACCTGGTGGAACAACCAGGTACTACAGCTAAACAAAAATAACCAAAACATCTTGAAACTTCCCCACAATGACTTTAAATGTGTATTGGATACTCTAAACTTGTCTGTTTTTATTTGTAAAATATTCCAAAATGTCTTGAAACTTCTCCAAAACTTTTCTAAAATGACTTTAAATTTGACAAAAATGATCCAAACTGGTCCAAAATGGCCACTCCTTTGTTTTGGTCTGCTGTCACACGGGTTTCGTTAAAGGAGAACACCGTTTGTGGCTGAATCTGAATCATTTTCCAAACCAATAACCTGCAGACGGGTCCCAGTTTATCCCAGGTTTCCTTCGCGCATTAATCGGACGTCACAAAGAGTCACAGAAGTCTCTGTCATGGTCCCGTTGCTGCTAAACTCCCACAATGCTCTCTGCTGCCAACATGAACTGCAGTCTGAGTGACGCCTCCTCTGGTCTCTACAGGAGTAAACAGTGAGAGGCTCCACCTGGTGGAACAACCAGGTACTACACCTGGTCTATGATACATTTACTGACATCATGTAGAGAATACAGGTGTTCTCCATCTGTTGGAGCCTCAGAACATTCGACCCTCTAACACTGCTTACACCTGCAGAACATCAGGGAGCAGCTTACATGCAGAAATGAAGTTTTTTTCCCTTAATTCATTGCAGAGATGTTCAGTTATCGAGCGTGTAAATTGGATAAAGTGTCTATTATCTATGAAAATGTTGTTGGGTTTTGACTCAACAGATACTAAATATTAAACGACTCGGATCCGATCAGAGCAAAACACGACATCCATAAATATCTCATTTGCATGTGTTCACTGTTTGGTCCAAAGTAAACGAGGTTCAGTCTGAAGCCGAGCGACGACTTCCAACCTTCAGCTGTTACCTGAACAATGAGCGGCTCCGTCGTCCTCCTGCAGGTGAAGCTGCTTCTTTGTTTCACGCTAATGACACGTCTCTGTGGGGGCGGAGCTCCGGCCCACCTGTCGCTCACCTGCAGGACCGAAACCGCCTTCTGTGTTTGTGCAGCGGATTCATCACGGTCGGATGTGGAGGCTGGAGGGGAGCAGCATCCTCCTCTTTGTGTTCCTGGACAGCCATGGAAACCACAGGTTACCACGGTAACGGCGAGCACACGCATCCTCCAGCTGCAACATGTGACAAACACGTGTGTTCAGAAGTCCATGAGGAAAGCTGAGGGTGTGATTTAGTCTGTTTCAGGCTGTGTGTCAATGCTCGCTGAAAAACAGAAGAGAAACATTTACAGTTTAATGTTGGTTGATATTTAAGTTTTGAATAATGACAAGCTAAAGATAATGTTTAATTTAACCACAGTTATTATCCAGGAACACAACTTTAATGCAAAACACAACCATGCAAAGCACACAGCGACATAAATGTACAGACATAAATGTACAGACATAAATGTACAGACATAAATAGGAATGAGGATGAAAAAGGCAGTTCAACTCTAGAAACCTCTGAGGTGCCTAAAAAAAAACCTCAAATGGCTCCAATTTCTCTACAAATCCTCGAACAGAAACATTTTTTGATGGTTCTTTTAAGTACATTTGTGGATTTTTATGGAACTGTTTGAAGAAACACCAAAGTTCTTTGAAGGAATGATTTTCATGATGGTCCTTTGAGGAACTTTTTTTTTAGGTTCGAGTGAAGAAATGGTGCCGTAAAAACCTCTTTGTGGTCTATTGTTTGCCATTTAGTGCCCAAAGGAATCATCTTCTGGTGGTTCTCTGGGCCATCTGTAGTGGTTCGTTTAGGATCCATGCAAATAAACGGTTCCTTCAACAACCTGTTCTCTAAATGTTTTTGGAGGAACATTCATGGTGCCTTGTGTTGACCTCTGTTGATGGTTCTTTGAGGCACCTACAGATGTTTCTTAAAGAACCTATTACTACAAAAGTCCTTTGGAGTGCCCTTCATGATGCTGAACAGAAGCACTTTTAATGGTTCCTTGACCCGCCTTCAGTGGTTCTCTAAAGAACCGATTATTTCGATAACCTGTTTTTGCTGAAGTTCGTTGAAGAACCAGTTTGGTGTCTCAGAGGAACCTTTTCTGGCAGTTCTTTGTCACATCAGTGGGGATTCTTTCATACATTTCTGAAAAAATGGTTCCCTCAAGAACCTGTTTTTGCTTTTAGGTTCTGTGGCGCAGCAGCTATGGCGCCTCTAGGAGCCGTTTTGTAATGATTCTTTAACGTTGGGCAGGTCTCTAGGAAACCATCTGAAAACATCGTTTGTTTCAGAACCTTTTGCTCAAAGGTTCTTTTGTGGAACTAAAAGTGGTTCTTGTAGCATCACAGCGCCTTTGTTTGAGTTTATCTGTACAGACGCTCAGTGAAGACGCAGCACCAGTGATAAACTCATACTGAGAGTTCTTCTTCTTCTTCTTCTTCTTCTGTGCTTGAACCGCGACACGTTCCTGAACTTGTTCCTGAACTTGTTCCTGAACTTGTTCCGACTTTGACCTACTTTAAACCTTCACACTCGTTTCTCAGCTCCGTGGCAGGAACATCATTATCGGTCCACAAATAGTTCCTACAGTCAGGCGACGCCTCTGAGACGTTAAAAATACCGCCGGCGCTCCGTCAGGGTGAAGAACCAAGAGTTTCACACCGAGTCAACTGATCCCGATCAGACGGTAGTGAAACTCCCCAGGGTCGCCATGGAAACAGCTCGTCCCCGTTAGCACGTCTGTCGGTCTTGAAAACGTTGCGTTAACGTTCTCCGACTGACAACAAACGGTCTGATGGAAGGTTCCTCCACAGTCCTGTGATTTCAGTGCAGAACTCAGCTGACAGCAAAGTCTGAAGACATGACGACTCTATACGGTTCTGTAAGGTACCAAAGGTTCTCCATCGTTATTTGGTATCAGGTAGCTGCATAAAATTAGAATTAACAATTAGATTATTATCAACATAATGTTTGGTCAATAAAACATCAGAAAACAGTGAAAAAACATCCAACAGTTTCCAAATCCCAACCTGGCATCATGGAACACGTTAGAACCCAAAACTTTAAACCCGTTGTCATGGAAGGAACCCAGAAATCCTGCAAACTCTTACATTTGACTTTTTGGTTAAGTTATGGTAATGTTTAAGAAATGGTTCCTTTAAGAATCTATTATTGCTAACGAGCTCTGGAGCATCATTTAGGGTCCTAAAGAAAGAAATCATCGTTATGGTTCTTGATGCCACATTTAGTGGCTCTTTACAGAACTGTTGAAATACATGCTTCCATAAGGAATGTATATTTGCTACGGTATGGAGCAAAAAAAAAAAAGTCTTCTTTTTCTTCTTCTTCTTTTCAAAAGAAGGATCAAATCAAACTGGTGAACTATTGCTGGTTCCAGCTGTTAGTTTTACTAACTTACAAAGTAAAAAGCCCAAATTTTTAGAAAGTTTTATTAAAAAAAGATTAAAATACAGAAGCTCAGGAACATAAACTCCTTCCACTGAATCATCCTGCGTTTCTGCACAACTTTTCTTTTTTTTTTAAATTACAAAGTGACCTTAAAAAAAACAAACAAAAATTAAACATAAAACTTGTTTTCTGTTTGTTTTGAGCTTTTTGTTCTGAAGCTTGTCCTTGAAGGTCTGAAGTGATCTCTTCAACCAAACGTGTATAAATAAGTGTTTCACCTGGTGGTCGACGCTTTTAACAACGTGAAGGTCGTATCATGTTCAGACCTTTGAACAGATCTGGGATCAGCTTCCTTCTCCTCCATGTTCCTGTCTGATATAACCGATCCTGCAGGAGGAACATCCAGATCTGACGCCAATGTTCTAACCGCCAAAGATCAGAAACCGATCTGAGACCAGGCTGCTGCTGAATGAGATCCAGATAAAGGTCAGAGCAGCAGAACAAAGGCCGAGCCGAGACACAGCAGGTCAGCTGGACAAATTAACCTTTAAATAACACCGAGGGGTGAAGATGGAAAAAGCCGGAGGAGGACCGGGGACGCCTCGGCTTTAATAACAGGTTTTAAATGTGGAGATGAACAGATGGAGACAAACAGTCAGTGTTTTATCGCAGGATTCACACCTGAGTGTGTTCAGCAGGTAGTTTCCACTCTGATGGTGATGATCCTCCTCCTCACTGAGTCCAGCCTGGACGGGCAGGAGAGGAGAACGGAGAACAGGAAACACACAGCAGCA